CACACACACACACACGCACACACATATATATTGGTTTCTCCATGGGAGAAGGTCAATTTCCTAGGTGGAGGATGGTCGACCGAATCATTTGTCCTTCCACTTCCCACACGTGGGTTTTGTTCTTAGTAGTTACCGGTTTCATAGTTTTGAAAGGATAAGCAACATTATTTGTAGAAGCATATATCTTAAACCAATCAAAGAACAATATGTGAACTTTATGATCATGTACAAACTCATAAAATTCATTTTGAATAGTCTTTCTATTTTCCGGAAAGTTTTTGAAGAACCAAATTCATTTTTCGAATTGTGTTATGCATAGAAGTCATCATGCGGATATTGTTTATCTATTGTAAAACTATCATCGGACAATACATTACATTCATGTGCAATATTATCGATGATAGTAGAAGCGAGTAGGAGATAATGGAGGAGAATCCTTTTGATTTGAAAACCTAGGTTTTGGAATATTTGTACAATAATCAACATTTTGTAAAACGAGGTTAGGAACATCCGAGGTTGAATACCTATGTGGATGTCTTAGAGGTGGTAGACTCTAGTCTAAGTCCGTATCTCTCTTAACGTTTGATAAGTTTATGACTCGAAGGAATCTCGGAAAATCTTCCTAGGTCATAAGTCATAGAACTAGAGGCAACATCAAAAAATCTACCATTGGTAAACTTTCTATCAAATGAGAGTCTAACACTCCCATCCATATGTTGGGCTATAGATCCGATTTGTGTGTTTGGTTTTGGGACCTCGTGGACTGGTAGAGATCCAGTGTTTCGTTATTCCTTTTAAGATCCATTCATCGTGTAAAACTATGTCTTTCCACCTAATAGGTCCGGGAATAACCGTAATGGACTTGGTTAAGTCCGTTTGCGGGAGAAGGGTTTCTCCTTTGGTTGATCGACGTTTGTGTTTTGAGGCAAAAGTAGAGTTCATGGCCTTATAATGAATTTTTGTGATCAATGCAACTAGGATTGATCCTTCCATCATATTGTAATTGTGGGTTTTGATTTGGAGTACAAAAGACTTCGAATATTTTTGTCATTCAGGAAAACTCGTAAAATTTAGGTAACAACCAAAAGAAATAGGTCCACCGCATAAACTAGACTCAATTGAACTAAGCAGAGAGTCCCGAAAATTGGTAAACCTATTGTCTCTAAGGATTGCCGGGATTGAGGTGTTCAATCCTTCTTTTGTAAGTGGTTTAATTCCCACTTGAACTATATATATATATATATATATATATATATATATATATATATATATATATATATATATAAGCAAATAAAACTTGTGAATTTTTTGAACTCATTATTATTTTTTTAAAAAAAAATTGATTCAAACCATCTAAAACATACTTTTAGCTCTCTCTCTCTCTCTCTCTCAATATATATATATAACACTCATTTAAAAATATAAAAATAATTTATCGTATAAATTATAATAATATAATTTTAAAAAATAAAAAATTGACATTCTAAAATTTTATTCCAAAATTCATATATTAAAAAATCAAATTTATTAACAAATAAAATTAAATCAAAAAATTAAAAAAAATAATGTAATAAGAAATTTAATAAGAAACAAATAATTAAAGAAAAAATTTTAAATAATAAAAATAAAATAATCAAATATGTATGTTAACATCAATGTCAAAGATATAATTAATATTGGTTCGTGGACATTAAAAGGACCAATAATATATATGTTTTCTTTCCCAATGAAAGAATCAATTATATATGACCTCTTAACTCCGTACATCACTTGTTGGAGATCCAATTATGATGTGACAATATATATATTCTTTTAAGGGTTTTCTTTTGCCTCTTGGTGATTCAATTCTAAAACACATCAAGATTTAAAATAATTAGCCAACTTTTCTTTTTTGTTCTATCATGAGATTGGTGGTCGATTTTTAAAAATATAAAAATAAATTATAGTAAGAAAAAAAAAGAGTAGGGTTGTGCTCTGGTTGGTATATATATTAATTTTTTTAAAAAAATTGAGTCAAATTAATTTTTTAACCGATTATTATTTTTTAAAAAATTAAATAAAATTATCTAAAACACACTTTTAGCCGCTCTCACTCATCGAATTTATATATGCAATTACGCTACTCTCATTTAAAAATCATAAAAAAAATCAATCATATAAATTATAATAATATATTTTAAAAAATAAATCAATCAAGTTCTAAAATTTTATTTCAAAATCCACATATAAAAAATCTAATTTATTAATAAATAAAATTATATAAAATTAAAAAATTAATTCGATGAGAATTTTAATAAGAAACAAACAATTGAAGAAATAAATTTTAAACAATAAAAATAATATAATCGGATACATATGTTTAAACTAAAATTTTTAAAAATATTATATATATATATATATATATTCTATTATCATAAAACTCGTACACAAAACTAAAAAAAATAATGATCTTTTTTATATTTTTACACCTAATTTCATGATAAAAAATATAACAATAAATTATTAAAAGAGAAAAAAAGAAAGCAAAATCTGGTTGGAACTACTTATGTAGGCCTACTTGAGCTCGCTTCTCAAGGCAAGCCCTATATATATATATATATATATATATATATATAAAGAAATGCTTCACCGAGCCAGCTCTAAAAAAAAAAAAAAACTATAGTAAAATGAGTTAGGCCATCACTAAAACAAACAAATAAATAAAATGTTACAAAGAATGAACAGGGGAAAACCTTAGTTCTTTTAGTTTTTTTTTAAAATAATTATAATATCTAAAACACACTTCTAACTCTCTCTTTCTCATCAAAATTTATATATGCAACAACGTTATTTTCATTGAAAAATCATAAAAATAATCAGTCATATAAATTATAATAGTATGTTTTTAAAAAATAAAACAATCGGGTTCTAAAATTTTATTTCAAAAGCAATGTATAAAAAAATCAAATTTATTAACAAATAAAATCATATAAAATTTAAAAATTAATTCGATGAAAATTTTAATAAGAAGCAAACAATTAAAGAAATAAATTTTAAATAATAAAAATAATATAATCAGATATATATGTTCAAACTAAAATTTTAAAAAATATTATATATATTCTATTACTCGTCAAACTATACGTAAAATTAAAAACAAACCAATCTTTTTTTATATTTTCACACGTAATTTTATGATAAAAAAATATAAAAAAATTATTTATATTGAAGAGGAACAACTCGTCATCCGATATTTAAATAAATTATTTATTAATAAATATTAAATTATTATACCAATATATTTAAAATAATATTTAACTAATATAATGTAATACCGATTTAATTATATGGTGTAATTATCAACTATATTATATTACTAAAATACTCATAGTTTTTATGTATATTCAAATTCATAAAATAATATATTAATATATTAATATATTATTTATATCATAATATAAAATAATAAAAAATATTATATTGTATAATAAATACAATATTCACAATCAAAATACAAATAACTATTTTAAAATAATTATTTGATATTTTTTGTAAAATATAATGATAATATATTATAATTATTAACTATAAATAATTTAATTATTTAAAAAAATATATTTCTAATAAATAAGGACCTAAATAATATATTTGGCCATATAATAATAGTCCTACAAATATAGAAACCGAAAAAAAGCCGGATGTTAAAAAAAATAAAAAAGTACTCGCATAAATACAATATTCACAATCAAAATAAAAATAATTATTTTATAATATTTATTTGATATTTTTTGTAAAATATAATGATAATATATTATAATTATTAATTATAAATAATTTTATTATTTAAATAAAATATATTTCTAATAAATAAGGACCTAAATTATATATTTGATCATATAATAATAGTCCTACAAATATAGAAACTAAAAAAAAAGGAGGCCGGACATTAAAAAAGAAAAACAAAACAAAAAAACACTACAATTTTTTTTGTAAAATATAATGATAATATATTATAATTATTAATTATAATAATAGTCCTAAAAATATTTTAATAGCTGGAAAAGATGATAAATTAGTCAACAAATTATATTACCTTTAAGGCAATGAAAGTTGTAGAATCTATTAATTGGAGAATGAAAAATGATGCATGATGAAGAAATTAATATATATGATTAGATTTGGAAGAATGGACGACGTTAAAAAAAAAAAAAAAGGAAGGGATTGTTACAAGTAAATGGAAATGGCCAAAAGGATAAAAAAAAAAAAAGTTTTCAAACCAAAGTGACTAATTAATTTATTCCCCAAAGAATTATTTTTTTTTATTTCTTAAAAGAAAAAATAAAAATAGTAAAATGGTGAAAATGACAAAAAAAATATATTAGTTTTCAAACCAAATAGAGTGATTAATTTATTTCTCAAAGAATGAGAGACTAAGATGCCAAAAAAAAAAAAATACATGAATAGGAACTTTGAATGTGTAGCTACAATGAATGAACAGAAGCAACCCCATAATTTTATACATAATCAAAAAAAGCAAAATTTTAAAATGAAGATGGTGGATTTATAATCATTAAATTATAGTAATAGTTACTTATTTTTGTATTTTATTTTATTTTATCAAACAAATTCTAAAAAATATTTTTGAATAATTTTTTTATATAGTTATCAAACATAAAAAAATATTTTTTTGAAAAATAACTTTTTTAAAAAATAGGTTTTTCGAAATTACTTTTTGCATGGAAAGTTGTTTTATTCCCAGCAAACGCAGCCTTTGTGAACGAAGAAACCTTAAATTAACGGATAACAGTAAAGTTTTAAGGGGAAAAAAATTAAAAATAAAAGTTTGAAAAATAAAACACAGAAAGCATATGGACTGAGGTCGGTGAAACTGCAAATTTCCTCTCTCTCCCGCTCGATTGAGTGGTAAGCCAATTCCGCTCCAAACTACTCAACCACAGCGACACGAGAAAAGAACAAACGCAGCAAAAGCAAGTGACAGACTGATGGAAGCAGAAACGGAAATGGAAATTCGTTCACTCACCGGAGAATCTACAAAGGTAACGATATCATCAAAGAAAGTTATTAACGACCTCAAACTCCTCTTGATTCTCACTTTCCCTCCTGCCTCTTCCTCTCCCAATTTCCATCTCTTCTTCAAGGTAACAACCATCTATTTCGTTTTTTTGTTTTTTTGTTTTTTTCAATTACTATAATCCAAAAACCTACTTTGCTTTAATCATGAAAATTCATCTTTTCTGTTGTTCGGTTGTATCAGGGAGTTAAATTGAGTTTGAAGAGGCAAATCGACACGCTTTCTATTGAGAATGGTGAATTTTTAGTTCTAGTTCCATTCAACAAGAAAGATCCACCTAAAACCCCAAAACCTGGTTTTTTAAATTACGAAAACGCCCCCTCAAAACCCCCGATTTCAAGTTTCGCCGATTCAGCATTTTCTGAGATGATGCAAGACTTATCATCTTTATCGGAAGAACCAAGCATTACTGATGCACAGCCTGGTTTTGAGCCCAATGATATGTTTTCTGGATACAAGCGAAAGAGGGATTTTAAAGAGAGTAGTAGTAATAAAGAGGAGGGAGGTCCGTTTAGTTTCTTATGGAATTTGATGCAGTCTCCTAACATTGATATTATTGAGGAGAAAGAAAATTGTGAACATTTTGTTGAGGTTTTGGAATCATCGAGTTGCTTGACTAATCCATATTCCAAGATATGTGTGTTTTTAGATGTAGAAATGCGTGGAGACAAGAGGACTTCCTGCTTTTGTCCAGTGTGGTTGAAAAAAATTATGCAGGCTTTTGCATTCTTGAATATTTTCACTGCATTTCTTCAAATGCAGAGGCGGGAAATTACCTCCAACTGTTTGAAGGAAGCCCTAAAAAAGCTTGAGAAATCTGGATTGAAAGCTGGTTTTGAGGATATAGAGCTTCTTTCTGTTTTGTGTCCTAAGGTAATCGTTTGAATTTTTAGGATATGTATTTTCTTAATTTTTAATAAAGTTTGCTGTTAGGTCAACTCATGCTCTGTGTTTAGTTTACCTTTTGAAATGCAAAAGTTGCATTAGTCACAAGGATGTTTCGAGCAGCATTGATGTTGGACATGAGATGAAAAAAAAAGTTATTCCATCTGTCATCACACCATGAGCGTGCTAATGCTTTTGGTCTTTGCAAACTTAAATTTTGCAACAACTTGATACTTTAAATTTTGGCATCATTAGTTTTTTTGGTTATAGTTGATTGAAGTGATTTGAAGTTTGAGTGACTATCGTCTACTTACTAGGCATTGTTGCAAGAAGACAAGGTAGTTTACCAGCATGATGATTATTGAGTTGTTAGAGTTTACTTGAGGGTTGACTTGCGTTCCATTTATTTTCAAACTTCAACATGATATGCTTCAAAAAGTTCTCATTGCAAAATTGCATGCTAATTTTCAAGTTTCTCACCTGTGGCAGTTGTAAAGTGGTCAATGCCAGTAGAGAAAAGAAAAAATGTGTTGTGTGACATTGTTCCAGTGCTGTGAGATATTTCAGTTCTTAAACTCTCTCTGAGCGGTTTTGTTGTGGAGTCCCTTTTTTTTTTTTTCTTGAATAATGTGGTTAAGCTGGTGCAAGTTTTTGATGATGTGCTATCTAAGGTCCTCAAGATGGGTCACTGTAACCTGCCAAGTAAGAATGCTTAGCTGCGCACTAAAAGTACTTACTTTGATATGACATGCCTTGTTTGTTACGATGGAGAATTATTTTCCAAGCCCCACCATCTCTATGAGATGGTAGAAGATGAATTTTTTTCTTTATACATATAGGATATGCCTTGTTTCTTAAAGCAGTTTTCTAGGTATTATTGCCAAATATGCCCTAGACCATTTTGCTGGCTCTTGGATTGATGTTGGACATTATACTTTCCTATTTAAATGAGCATATCATTTTTCTTTATCTCAGGTAGTGTCTTTTGCTAATAATGATACAAAGCTTGCAAATGCTGCTGATGTCATTATTATCATCAATTCTGAAGCAAAAGAAAAGGATGAAATAGATAAACGTTCTAGAAAAGGTATTATATAAATATATTTATATTTTTTCCCTATCTCTGTAGCTTAATTTTATAAGCTTCCGAATGAATGATATCATTTGCATTTTCACAGGTCAAAAATCCCTGTCTTTATCGACCATATTCAATGCAATGAAAAAACTGGAAAGTTCCTTTAAAACTAATTTGTGGGAAGCTGCAAAATTTTTATTGGTATGCCTATCTCATCTGGCCTTTTTGTATAAATAGTGCTGTTCATGAATGTTTAATAATGTTAACTTTTTCATGTGTAAAGGTAAATAAAGCTAGGCAGCCAGACAGGTGTGTGTGTGTGGCACACATGCACACAGTAAATTTTAAAGTGACACAATTTCCTTTTTCCACTTGTTATTTTTCCTCCTGCAGTGCAAAAGTGGAAATAGAGTTGCAATGCCCTTTTCCATGGCAGATCTACTCAACTTTGTGAAGAAAGATGACATTTCTGTGAGTGAAAATGAAGCAAAACAAGCAAAAGGAAGCAAGTCCTCGGCCTCAAGCTCACATTCCTTCCAGACACGATGCCATGTGGGTGTTTGTCAGTATATATTTATCGACCAACTGGTTTTTTTGTTTCCCTGTTGCTTGGTTTGATATGATTATCTGCTTTGAAAATGAGTATGAATAAGCAGACGAACAATTGGAACTAAATGTATGTTAGAGATGACTGGTTTTAGTGCAAAATGCATTTGATATTGTTGTTGCAATGATTATATCTATCGAATTCTACTTTTACACTGACTTTTGATGGTGCTTTCATGCTTTTACAGTTTCAAAGTTGAACAAAGAATTTCGTTTTTTACAGTTTTTGGGCTGAGAGGAAGTTACAGAGTTTATTCCAATTTCATAATTTATTTTGTGGTGGCAAAAGGGATGATAATTAGAACAGAGAACTTAAATGACTTTGCATTGCAATACCTTGCATTTAATGACACTAAGTAATTATCTACCACCATAAAATGCAAGCTGTCTTTGGTCATTGGTCCACCACCGCAGAATGCAAGTTGCACCCCACAGCGACTGAATGGAGCTAGGGTGGAGAAGCGGCTCATATGCTACTCTCTATTTGAATTTCATTGAGCACTTTTGTTTTGTCATCAAACTCGATTTCTAATACTAATCATGCTATGAAATCAGATTTTCTACTAACTTAAATTTATTGGGTTTTTTTTTTCTGTGCCAAGGGTGACTATAATATTTATTGCCCTCACCCACTCGAAGGAATTGTGTGAAGTGAATTGTCCTTTATTCCTTTATACCTACCATTTCTGTTGGTATGACTGATTAGAAATCTAATGAGTTGAGAACTTTTTGACTTACCAGGAAACAAATCAATTGCTGCCAGTGGAAATGGTTGAACATCTCAGAAAAGGCATTGGATCGAAAGGACAGGTGACTGCTACACTTGCTTTAAATGTTTGGAAACAGTAATATGTGTAATATTCAACAGATTCTCTTGTGGATCTGATGGTCTGAAGTAAATAAGGATTCACCTATACCATCTGAAGCCTAAATGGAATGGAATGAGCATATGGGTGATGCTTTTAAAATTCTTATTAATTTCTGTTCCGAGTGCTAACTCTGGAAGTTTATCTGGTGCAGATAGTGCATGTTGAAGATATTGATGCTAGAAAACCTATTTCCATACAAATACCAAATGTACTCTCAGATAACACAATGTCTGCACTTAAATGCCTGGGAATCACTAAATTATACAGTCACCAGGTTTGAACTTTTCCTCCACTACAATTTTTTTTTTAAATGATATTTTATGAGGATGTTTAAACTCTTGTTCACAGGCAGAGTCCATCCTGGCCTCTCTTTCTGGGAAGAATGTGGTGGTGGCTACAATGACATCTAGTGGCAAATCTCTTTGCTATAATGTACCCGTTCTGGAAGCTTTGTCCCAGAATTTGTCTTCATGTGCTTTATACTTGTTTCCAACTAAGGTTCATTGGAAAAGTTTTTATACAACAGATCTTCCTTTTATATTACTTCTGAGCATTATGTATATTATACAAAATTTTTGTCCATGCAGGCCTTGGCTCAAGATCAACTAAGAGCTTTATTAGAGATGACAAAAGGATTTGATACTAGCATAAACATTGGGATATATGATGGTGACACTGCTCCAAAGGACAGGCTGTTGCTTCGTGCAAATGCTAGAGTGGTACAGTAGTAGGTTTTGCTGGTTCACAGGGGAAAGTTTCTGCAGATGAAGACCTTTAATGTTATGGACTTAATTTTTTGCAGTTGATCACAAATCCTGATATGTTACACTTGTCAATTTTGCCATATCATAGACAATTCAGTCGAATTTTATCAAATCTCAGGTAACGTTGTGCTATTACTATTATTTAAATTGCTACCTGCTAAACATAATAATTTAGTGTTATTAGTAGTTTTTGGATTTATTATGCTATTTAAAGTTCTCCATAGAGTGATCATGTTATGCCATTATATGATTCCTGTGCCATTTTAATTATCTTTATAATTGTTATCGATCTGTTTATTTAAAAAAAATTAGGTTTGTGGTGATTGATGAAGCTCATTATTACAAAGGAGCATTTGGATGCCACACTGCTCTTATATTGAGAAGACTTTGTCGTCTTTGTTCTCATGGTAAACGGGAGTAGATACGACTTTTTTTCATTTATTTTCTGTTTTATTTTTCAATGTGTACTTTTACACAGAAAAATCATTATGGTTTCTGTTTGAATGTGCAGTATATGGCAGTGATCCTTCGTTTGTGTTTTCTACAGCAACTTCTGCCAACCCTCGCGAGCACTGCATGGTAAGATTAAAAATTATCACAAAACATATTCATTGATGTATAATTTTATGATGGCTTTGTTCTTTGGAAGTATTATAGTGGAGCCATTAATTTCTTCAGTAATTTTTTTCCCTTTCCCTTGTCTTTTTCTTTTTCTTTTTAATTCATATGAAAGGATTATAAGATATGGAGGAATCATATTTAGATGATCACACATGTAATATTGAAAAGCCTTAAGCTTTCTTTTTGGCACTTGGACTAGTCAAGTGGCATGCAGCAAACCTGATTTCTTTGACAAAATTATATGAACACGCCTTGAAATGGTTGTGTTTAGTTTGACTGACTCCTTAAGTATTGGGATATGGTGACTCACCACTTCCATAATGATGCAGGACAACGCTTAAATTAGATTTTAAGGGTATCTTAGGCTCAATATAGGTAGGTTATTCTAAGAGTTATTCTAAGAATTAGGAACCAGGAAGCTTAGGGCTTGAATTTAAGTGTACATGGGGTAGAAATTAAGGCTGGAAAGCAACTGTGGTGGGGTTAAAGGGGGGCTGATTATGCATGAAAATAAAAGTAATCTTAGAGTCTCACGTAGAAGAAAGAGAGGAACCTTACTGGAATCAAACCAGTAAAAACATCTAACTTGCAAGAAATTTTATTCTCACAAATAATTGTGTTCTCAAACAATTACAATGCTTGTATTTTTTAGACTTACGAGAAATCCTTAACTAAGAAGGGAAACCAGCTAGTACTAGGAAAAGTAAAAAGAACTCCTAAACTATCAAGGAAAGGACTACTAATCACTAACTATTCCTAAAAATTTTGGAAATGTAATTATACTTAATTTCCAGCAAACTCCATATTTTTCGAAATTACAAAATTACCCCTGTAAAGGGAAAATTCTTCATCACTCATTGAGGTTTCTCCTTGGCACATAGGTCAGCTTGGCTGGTATCAGGCAATTCCATGGGTTAATTGTAGATCTGTTGAAATAGCTTTGTTGGATATTCTTACAAATGTTTCTTGGTTGTATGCGGCATACTTGGCTAGATTGACTGACCATATGCAGGGCAGCTAAATGGTGCTCCAGCATGAATCATTGCAAGGCTGTTCCGTGTTTGAAATGTACCCTTCTTGTAATGCTTTCAAGGAGAATCATCCAAATACTTATGCTAGTATACTTCATGGGTTCTAAATTTGGGATTTTTGAATAGTTTGTTGAGTATTTATTCTTGTTTTAATTGATTGAAACATAAGCATTTTAAACTTCTAATGCTTAGGAACTTGCAAATCTTTCAACGCTGGAGCTGATTAAAAATGATGGAAGTCCTTCTTCTCAGAAGCTTTTTGTTCTTTGGAATCCTACTTCATGTTCTAGAATTGTATGTGGTTTATAGTGTTCTATAAATATAAAACTATTGCATAAGAAGATGTTGTTTATTTATTGCTTGCTGACATTTTTGAGATTGCAGATGCCAAATGAATCCGAGGGTCCCATGGATGCTAGTGAAAGTGCAGATAAAAGCATGAGGTAAGAGAACCTGAATTTATATGTAGCAAAATAATGTAGCATTTTGCTGTCCATCTTCATGATACATGTTGGTAAATCCATGCTATAAGCAGAGCTATTACTGATGAGTGATGGGTTAATTCTTTTAGTTGTAATTTTTCACATCAAATGTGGCATGATATTCTGTCTACAAATATTAATAGTGTACATTATTGTGCTGTCAACAATTTTGGTTACTTGTCGGTGTGAGTTTTGCATTCTTTCCTGGAGAACATCAAAACATATAATTTAATAGGATGATAATTGCTCCATTTTTTCATCTTGTTTTTTTCTTGGATTGAAGTACTGCTTAGGGATTATGCAACAGTTGTCGCAGATACTTGGACTATTTCTTGTTTCTGGAACATTTTTAGTCACAAGATAGTATTTTATTGCATTAATATTCTATTCCTAATATGCTAAAGCTACACATAGATGTTTTTGGTCTTTTGCTTAGTGAAATCATATGATGCGGTTGATGCATGATGAAATAAACCTGTTATAAATTGAATATCTGAAATAGTATTACAATGTCTAATGCTCAATTTTTCTCTTCCAGCCCAATTTCAGAAGTTTCATACCTCTTTGCAGAAATGGTTCAGCATGGACTTCGTTGCATTGCCTTCTGCAGATCCCGTAAACTCACTGAGATTGTTTTATCCTATACGTATGCCACATTGATCTCATGAATGTTAAATTTGATTTTGAAAAGCATCTAGCAATTGTAATATATGGCCTTTTGAGCTTTGGTATTTTATTTTTTAGTGGTGGATGTTGAAAGAATCGTATCTAACTTTATGACTGATAGGCTTGAGATTCTTCAGAAGACAGCACCCCACCTTGTGGACTCAATTTGTGCTTATCGTGCTGGCTATGTTGTTGAGGTCAGTAAAGCTGTTTTGTTTTCTCTGTCAATATATAATGATGATCATTAGTGTTATCTTAAGCCGAAGTAGACATCATTTGCATGACCTAAGTTTTCTGTGGAATGTAAAAATTTGACTTTTAGTTTGTTCTTTGAGGAAATTATATCAGAATTTGTGCCAAAATTCTGTACTTTCTGTGTGCAAATTTCATTCTGTTGGTTATTGAATCTGTTTTATTTAGCTATTTCAGTGGCAGAAAGTTCAGATTGCTTCTGTCAAGGTTCTTTACTGTAGTGAGTTATTGATGATTTTCATCACAGTGCAAGAATTTTGAAGTTGCTCATATTGTCCTTGACCATTGCTGTCTTGCATCTTCTCTTTGAATCAAAATTAACAATACTAAGCCCTTTTCCTACTTGAAAATGCAAGTTTTATTTATTACTAACACATGCTTGCCATTGGTTATTTTTATCTCTAAAATCTTATTAAAAGATTTTTGAAACTATTATAAATCTGCTGCTTTATGTGAAAAGGAGGGTCACAACCTCATATTTCTACTCAATTCAAATTGTAATTTGTATTCTGAGGGGGATGAGATCAATTTTTCATCGAATTCTTAGCTTTCCCTCAATGTGAATTATTGGAATAAAACAAATCTGTTATAAGCCCTTAACTGTTTGACCATCATTTACGATTTTCTAGTTGTCTTGATCAACCGCAGCTTCTTTTAGTTGTCTCATGTCGATGCTGCATGAACCTTGTTGAGGCCCTGTATCATTTGACTCAGCCCTGATTGCTGAAAGAAAAATCAGGAGGGGTAGTTGTATTTGTTTGATCTTCTTTTTCAGTGTTCTATTTCTGGTGCTTTTAGAGGCATTCAATTGGGTCTAATTTAGCAGCATTGCCATCTATACTAATTTTTGTTTTTTCCCTATAAGGATATTATATTTTCCTGTCTGTATTTCTAATCTTCAGTTGATTGTCATCCACTTGTGAGTTATTGTACTTTAACATTGGCTGGGCAAGAAAGCAGGATCGGAGGCAAATAGAGAGAGATTTTTTCAGTGGGAAACTCTGTGGCATTGCTGCAACAAATGCTCTTGAGTTGGGTATTGATGTTGGCCATATTGATGCCACCCTGCATTTAGGCTTTCCTGGTAGTATTGCTAGGTAGAAAGCTTGCTATATTACCTTTTTTTAGTAACTATCTTGTTCAATTCTTTTAATTGGATGCTCGTTCTTTCATCTTTAGTTTGTGGCAGCAAGCTGGCAGGTCTGGAAGGAGAGAAAGGCTATCCCTTGCTGTGTATGTTGCATTTCAGGGACCTTTGGATCAATATTTTATGAAATTTCCTAAGAAACTCTTCCATGGGCCAATTGAGTGCTGCCATATTGATGCTCAAAACCAGCAGGTATGAAGTGTTCCTAGATTGACATTGTCTTTCTAGGGTTCAACAAATAGGCAAACTTATGCTCGTTCCTGTGTTTATTTTTCCAGGTGCTGAAGCAACATCTGGTCTGTGCTGCTCTTGAACACCCATTGAGTTTGCTTCATGATGAGAAATATTTTGGTTCTACTTTAAGCAACTTGCTGGTGTCCCTTAAGAATAAAGGAGACCTGAGCTTTGATCCTTCACGTGATTCTTCTGCTAGAATATGGAGCTACATTGGACGTGAGGTATGTTATTTGTTCAAACAAACATATAGGTTTAATAGTTCTATTGCACACTGTTGTAATTAAATAAAAAGAAAAGGAGAGGGATTCACTTACAAGTTACCCAAAATATTATTACTTCCCTATAACTTTTCATTGTATGATTTTGATCATACTAACTACTGGATTTGATCACTAACTTGTCCATTAATCTATCGAGATGACATTCTAAAATTGGTTTTTCACTCAATTTAATTATGTATGCTATTTTCACAATCTAGATAAACCACTTTTTAATAACCTATTGACTTGAAATCTTCAAAGCATGTTCTATATGGACAAATGATTAAATATAATGGTTGGTTTAGGTTTAGTGGCAATTTGCCCCCAATCTATTGCGATTTGGCAATTTCGAGTGCATAGTACCAAATCTTGTAATTTGGATCTCAAAGTATTGGAGATTGGGCAAAATTGATCTAATTTTCTTACTTGGCGTTAAATGTAACTGTCAGCTGCGTTGACAGTTATTGTTGCTGTATAATTTTTATTTTTTAACCGTCAAACTAAAATTAAGTTTGGTTAGATTAGGGATATAAGGCAGATGACTCGTTGATATTTTGTAGACAGAATATCCAATACTTTAGGGTTCAAGTTACGTGATTTGTTACTATGGGTCCGAAATTGTCAAATTGCAATAGATTAAAGGTAAAAATTTGTCATTAAACCGGTTGGTTTAATAAAAAAAAATAAACAAAATTTTGAGGCTGTGTGATATTTTGTGTAACTTACTCGGGGAATTGGATCCCAAAAATATTTACAAAAAAGTTTAGATCATGTTTACTTTCAAAAAATAATTTTTTTTGTTTCCATCTCTAGTTTTTTATATTTCTTTTAAAAAGATTTCTCCATGGAAAAATAAGAAACAAGTTTATTAAGTATGAATTTTCCAAAATAGAAAACAAGAGCCTTGTTTGGCATAAATTGAAAATTATTATTAAAAAAGGGCATAAAATATTAGGTAAACCAAACAAGGCTTTATTTTTTATTTTGGAGAATTTGTAAGACAACTATTTTTGTGTTTTCCAGTTTTTTAGAGCATTGGAGAATTAGAAAAAATGCATTTCCAAGAAAAAAATTTTATTTCCATTTAATAAAAGCACTTCCTTTAGTTTTCTGTTTTGAAGAAATTTTTTTTCTAGAAAACGGGAAATTTTCCAAAATTAAACACAAAATATTTTTACTGTTTGAGTAGATTGCTATTTTATTTTTCATGTGTTCCTTGATATTTCTAGAAAATGCCTTCACGTGGAATTAGTATTCGAGCAATAGAGTCCATCAGATACAGAGTGATAGACATGCAGCGGAATGTAGTCCTTGAAGAGATCGAGGAAAGCAAGGCTTTCTTTCAGGTAGTGAAATTTTAGTTTCCTTGTTTATTGTAGACCATTGGTTAGACTGTTGGCTCTAAATGTAAATTCTTCAGCACTTCCTCCTTTTGGTTTAATTCCTTACTATGATTCATTATTTAGGTATATGAAGGTGCGGTCTATATGCACCAAGGGAAGACCTATATGGTCAAGGAATTGGATATATCAGAAAAGATTGCTTTGTGCTATGAAGCCAAAGTGCAATATTACACAAAAACTCGTGATTATACAGATATTGAAGTCCTTGGAGGTGATATTGTAAGTTGGGCTCTTAACTTTGTGTCTCTCTTCTTCTGCTTTTCAATTTGTATTAGCGAATGTCCCATGCTTTTTTTTTCTTCTGCAGGCTTCAGCTTTATTTATATAGTTGTTGCATGTCTGACACGCAGAATGAATGTGGCTATTGAGTCAGAAATATTAGTATTTCTTTACTGACAATTATATCTAGAGTTGGAACCTTGAGCCGCATATAGTTGATTACTGATATAGCTACAGTGGGAACTGCAAAGACGAAAAAACGTGTGGGACAGACTACTATGTGTCATGTCATTATTATTGTCTTCTTTGCTATCAATTGCAGCAATGCTACAAGAAATATTACTATATTCTCTTGATGGCTTTGTAATTATTGCTTCTGCAATTTAATGTTGATTCTCGTTGAAGTTTGAATTATGACGTTCTCAGTAACTGCTTGTCCTGCATTTATTTAGGCCTATCCACCAAGGGCCTTCAAGAACCAGACTTCAAGAACAACAGCTCAAGCACTTTCTTGTAAAGTAACAACTACTTGGTTTGGCTTCTATTGCATGCAAAGAGGAAGCAACAAAGTCTTAGATACTTTTGATCTTTCACTACCCAGATATTCATATGACTCTCAGGTGCATTTTATGGGCGTTAATATTGGATTCGTTTGCTTGCTTCCCTTCTTCTTTTGACTTTCTTTATATGGCATCTTTGTTTCTAATTATGTATCCATGCTTTCATCTGGCACTTTGGTTTCTCCTGCTGTTTGCATGATTAATTCTATTATTCATTTATCTTTGCTTTTGTATCTTAAATTTGTATACAGGCGGTGTGGATTCGAGTTCCTCAGCAAATTAAAAAATTAGTCGAGGAGAAAAATTTTTCCTTTCGTGGGGGTTTGCATGCTGCTTCACATGCCCTTCTCAATGTAGTGCCTTTGTAAGTCTTCTATAATTGCATCCTTTTCAATTTAAAGCTGTGCTACCTTTCTAATTTCTGTTGAATGGATGCTGAGATATGTTGCTACAAAGCTTACCCACCATCTGTTTGAGTGGGCATTTAAGATTTGAAGCATATGTTATTTTCTTTCCTTAAAGCCGCTAGTTATACCAATCCTATGTTCCCTAATTGAGTGTTGCAGCTCTGACTGTGTTATGATGCTTCTGCCTTCAGATATGTAAGATGCAACTTGTCTGACTTGGCTCCAGAGTGTCCTAACCCTCATGATAGCCGTTATTTTCCTGAAAGAATACTTGTATATGATCAGCATCCTGGAGGGACCGGTGTCTCAATACAGGTAACTGACATGAAATTGAAGCGTCCCAGTTTTAATTTAATAGGTTTGGTCTCTTGCTTAAAGAAGAACAAATTCAAAACTTTGAACATTAGGACTTGATTTTTAGAAGCACGTAGGAACACATTTTTGGGTTGATTTGAGGAGTAATAGATTTGGCTATAGAGATTTTTCTATCTCTTCAGTAGCCATGGGATATGTTGTTCTCTTTAATTTCTAAACACAGGCAGCTTCTTTTTGTTTTTAGCTTCCTAAATCATGGTGACGGAATTTTTATTTCTTGACTTATTTGGGTATGTTTATTTGTGCAATAGATTCAACCCTATTTCTCAGAGCTGCTGAATGCTGCTTTGGAACTTCTCACATCTTGCCACTGTTCAGGAGACACTGGTTGCCCGAATTGTGTTCAAGTGTGTCTCACTGTTTGTTTGATTTTTAATACTTTTGTGTTGTTTGTGGTGAGAATATTGTTAATTATCTTGCAGCATTATGAAAGAGTAACAATGCCACCTTCACATGTTGCAGAGTCTGGTTTGTCACGAGTACAACGAGGTTATACACAAGGATGCTGCAATTATGATTATTGAGGTTCTTCCAAAAACTTGGAACTGAAATATTTTTTCTATTCTCATTTTCAATGACTGAATTTATCTCTTTATTGGTCAGGGTGTTTTGGATGCTGAAAAATCGTACTTTGGAGAACTTCACAACTCCTCCCAAAACCATAGCGAGTCCTGAAATCAGTCACATCTTCTAATATGGTTCTCATACAGCTCAGCGAAGGTTTAGAATTTTTGCCAATTGTAGAGGTATTGTTGACTATAGCTTGAAGCAAATAGAGGTGGCAAGTGACATGTTAATGAAATTAGAAAGGCCAATTTCGTATCACACACCATATATCTTAGTCTCCAAATGATTAGTTATTTTTAGGTCTTTTTTCCTCCATCCTTCACAAAGATTTTTCAAATTAGTTTGTGAAGCTCATAAAGTCACTTGCAATCAAGAAAGGACATAGATAATTGCATGTACATATTTCAACAAAGATCTTTATTTTTACAGCTTCTTCGCTTCCTTGAATCCATCCTATTTGTACTGGACATTCCTTACAGTTGCTGTTGTTTCCATTGTTGAGCAGGAAAAAAAAGAAGGTGACGATGACATCCATGATCTGGAACGCTCTGCATACTGATCGCTTACATGGACAAACCGGCAACACCTGCCTGATAATGAAACTCTGCATCATGCAACAGGCGAACTTGTTGCATACTTTTGCAGTGCTCAACTTTGCTGCCTGGATGCAATAAACGAGTAAATTATAAATCAGTTTTTTGAAACGAATTAATTAGGCTTTGTTTCAAAAACTAATTATTTAGTTTCTATATTTTAAGATTTTCCTATACCTTAATCTTTTCATTCTTTTTAAATTTATTTTTGATTATTTTTTTAAATGAAAAATGAAGAAATAAAAAAAATATGGAAGGATTGGTATGAAAAGAGGATTTTTTTTATAAAATAAGACTAATATTAAATTAAAGGTAGTGTCAAGAAACTAATTAATTAATTTGTTTAGAAAATAGATGGGCTAATTTATAATTTACTCTGCAATAACCTAAATGCCTGGGGGCAGTGAAGTAGGTGTTTGGCAACGCAGAAACCATGTGCTTTAATGCATGGCTTCCGATAATGGCGCTAGCCAGGAAATCAAACTGTCAAGTTGTATTTACACAACAAATGTTGGAACACCTGCTTTTTTGGCTCACACGAAAGCAGTTGCATTTGTCGGAAAATTGAAGTGGAGTTTTGGATGGGAAGGCGGGGAACGGATAGCTTTTTCAAATTCCCAAACATTGCTAAGGCTTGCATTTTCATTCGGAGAACAAAATCCAAGAATACTGCATGAAGGTACGCTAAAGCAGTCACGGAATTCCTTCAATGTGTCTTCTACCACGTAGCTCAAAGTGTGGTCCTCTGGTTCCAACGCCAATTTATACTTGAAATCACCTACCTTCAAGCTTCCTTGCGCGAACAAATGAGTGGATTAAATGGCTTTATTAATTACTGTTAGTTAGAAGGATTAATTGTACGAAATGTTCTTTTACTGTTTAGATTTTCTTAATGTGAACTTTTTTTTTTATTTTCTTATCATGTCTATACTCTTTAGATTTTCACAATGTGCTCCTTGGATGGTTTTTCGCTCAATTTTTTTTTTTTATCAAAAGTGACATGTAAAAAAAATGTCACGTGTCATGACATGTCAAATTAATTTTTCATGTGAAAAAAAAACCAAAAATTTTGCTATTAAAAAAAAACACACTAAGTATAGAAACACACTTTGCATTTTCACTCATAACACACTCCATCTGACCAAAAACCCAACCTTTTCTTTTTCTCTACGTTTTTGCAATTTTCTATATTGATCAGATTATCTTCTTACCATCAATTCCCAACCTATTCCAGCTTCAAATCTTCTTCTTTTTAACTCTCTTAAACCCAGAAAACACTCAATTCTTCTTTTCATCTATCCAAACTCTAAAACCCGTGGTTCTAAATCATAAAAACCACTAATTTCACGAGAAGTTAAGTGAAGTTAAAAATCATAAGTTTTGTTTGTCTCCCCTAACCATTGTCAATTTAAGCTTTTCTCTCTGTGTTTGAATCACAATAAACCAAAAAGGCAATTGTGAAAGGAATATTAAAATTTTTGTCAAAAAAATTTTAGAATCTTAGTTGTTGTTCAATGTTAATTTATATTTATTCATATGGGTTTGATTGATTAGTAGTCCCGGATATGGAAGGGAATAACTTTATTACCCTTGTAATAGATTATTATTATGGGACCTTAACTGTCATGTGTGGTCTATTTATGCATGATAATGGTAATTTAGTTTTTGTTTTTTTTTTAATTGTTTTGTTTAAGAGATTAAGGCATTTTTCCTTCTATTTTGTGTTTTGTTTAACAGGTGAAGACATTTAGTTTTTACTAATCGGATATTCACGCTACGTTATGATCGGACAATCGTTATGTATGTAAGGTTAACGATTTGTATAATGTAAAGCGAGATAAAAATCTTATTTTTCACAATTAAAGTAAATCAAATTTATTTGCCGAGCAAAATCTTTTGATTTATATATATTTATTAACAAAATAATCAATAATATTAACATAAAAAGTTGTATTTGAATAATTAAAAGGTTCTTTTAAAACATTATTTCAATTATTTTATTTAAAAAATATTGATTTTAGAACATAAAAAAGAATAATTAATAAATAATTGGAGTTATGTGTGCAAATACATAATTAATCTATAACAAAACTAATGATATATATTTCAATTATTTTATTTAAAATATTAATTTTAGAATATAAAAAAGAATACATTATAAATAATTAGTGTTATGTATACGAATACATAATTAATTTTTAAAAAACAAATACACACACACACACACACACACTTAGTAGATTCATAGTATATAGTATAAATAATTTTTCAAAAAAAAAAAAAATCTAAATTGTATGGAATATATTAAAGTCAATACATTGAAATTAACTAATATACTAAAGTCAAACGATGAAATGAATAGTTGATTCTTATTTGAAACACTCGTACACACACTCATATTCTACTTGTTCACTCTCTCATATTTCACTTGTTCCTTTCATTATTCATAGATTTTTTTACACTTTGGTTCTCGATATTTTCGAACGCATATTTCAATTCACCTTTTCATTTGCTTATCCATTTTAGTCCCTAGGTGGAGAGAGAAGGTCGAGAGGAAGAGAGAGACGAGTAGGAGAGAGAGATCGTTGGCCAAGCTTATTTAGGTCACTCTAGCCGGCAAAAATTCACTAAAGTTTTTTATCTTTGAGAGATGAGTTTCTCCATAATGGTTTCAAGCCATTAAACAATTAGAGAAGGTAGATCGGAGCCAAAAAAGAAAAAAAAACCGATTTGATTTTGTATTTTGTATTTTTTTGTGTTTTTGTGTGTATTAAAATGATTTTTAAGGTTTTAATTGTTTTTATTATCTTTATTTCAATCATTTAGAGGTGTTTGAAAAAAAAATAATGTCGAAATTCAATTTTTAAGGTATGAAAGTTGACCTTTGATTTTTCGATGAACTTCGGCGACCTCGGGTTTGTCGGAAGTTGCAGATTTTTTTTTTCAATCGGGCGGCGAGCAAGGCTCGGCGCATAAGCTTGAATGGCAGGCCCAAGCGCGCTACCCTCCCTCCCATTTTTTTTTCCCTTTTGTTCTATGTGCAACCCGGTTGCACAAGCCAACAAGGCGTCGTCGTCATATATATATATATGTATATGTACATATGTATATATATATATATATATATATAACTTTTATTTTTTAAATTTAATTTTTTCATTATTTATTTCTAATTAAAATTCACATAAAAATAATTTTTTGATACAATTTTATTTGTTAATAAATTTATTTTTTTAATATATGAATTTTGAAATGAAATTTTAGAACGTTAGTGTTTTATTTTTTAAATATATCATTATAATTTATACAATAATTTTTTTTCTTTTTAAATGAAATTTTTTTGTTGATTATTTTTATTATTTAAATTTTACTACATTAATTTATTTTTTGTTTAAAATCCTCAATTTCTCATCTATTTAATTTCAAATTACATTAAAATATTTAAAATATTTTTTCACCTTTGATTTTATATATTTTTATACATTCACAACATAAAACAAACTATCAAACTAAAATAATTTTTCTAAATTATTTTATATATTTTTTCCTACTCATAGCGTAGCGCGACCAAAAGCTTAGTAAAAACTAATACAAAATTGATTTTCATAAATTTTACTTCTTAATTTATGATGAAAGAGATTCTTGAATTGCAAATTAAATTATAAATTAGTCCATCTCATTTTAAAAAATTAATTAATTAATTCTTTTGGTTTCAAAAACAAATTATTTAATTTTTTTAATCACTTGTTGACCAATAATAATTTATTTTTTATTTTCAAAAATGTCTTTTTTCATATTTTTACTTTTTTTAATTATTTCTCCATTTCTTTAAAAAAAAAAAAAATAGAACCATTGAAATAGCAAAGAGGACAAAAACATTATTTTTTGAACCAAAGGGACTAATGGTGTTATGTATGTAGATGCATAATTAATTTTTAACAAAACAAAGTATGATTATAACATATATATATATATATATATATATATATATATATATATATATATATATATATATATATATATCATACTTAGTAGATTCAAAGTATATAGTATAAATAATTTTTTTAAAAAAAAAACCATCTAAATTGTATGCAATATATTAAAATCAATAAATTGAAATAAAAACTACTACGAATTGGTTTCCATAAATTTTACATTTTAATTTATGGTAAAAGAGATTCTTAAATTTTAAATTAAATCATAAATTAGTTCATCTCATTTTGAAAACTGAATGAATTAATTCTTTTCGTTTCAAAAATAAATTTTTTAATTTTTTAAAAAAGTGTTGACCATGAATTATTTAATTTTTTTACTTTAAAAAATGTCTTTTTTTTTCAATTTTTTCATTTTTTTAATTCCTTTTCTATTTCTTAAAACAAAAAATAAAAACATTGAAATAGGAAAAAGGAAAAAATAATAATTTTTGAACCGAAGGGACTAATGGTGTTATATATGCAAATACATAATTAATTTTCAACAAAGCTATATATATATATATATATATATACACACGCA